ATGTGCTGTGAAGAAGGGATGTCCAAACTGAGAATTTGGGGGTTTCTTCCTCTTTGTCTTTCCTAAGGCACTCACACCTAGTGGGTGATTCCCAGAAGCAGAAACACAAAGACCAAGTGTTCTTCCATTCTCCCTCCTCCCATCACCCTCTATTCCAATACCTTCTCTTTCCTGTCCACCAGAGAGTCACATTCTCAAAGTCTCATCCATGCAGGCACCACCTCCAAATTTCCTTATTTCCAAACAAAACTCTTGAGTCCTTAGGCATCGTTATGATTAAGGAGATTCATACTAACAGACAGTGATGTCCGTTCGTTCTCAGGATTCGTCTGTATTTCCAAGGAAGAGCTTGCTAATCAAACTGGATATCTCAGTTAGAGGCAGTGTGGAAAAGATTTTCAAGCAAGGGGATTTTCAGACCATTAATCATTTTGAGCCTCTCTCTACTTCTCTTCAACTTTTCTCCGACAGATTTTGTCACCAGTAACAAATACAAAAATAGCTTTAAGACAAAGAGAATTCAGTCCCCTCCTTAATATAGTTTTACTAAAAAGTTGTGTGTATAGAGATCAATGGGAGAACGTGGTTGGTATTGAAACTATCCTTCAAATTAATACATCCAGGGGAGTATTTCATAAATGAGACTATATTTCTTACTAGTAAAATTTTCTTTCATATTAATTATGCACCATGATTTGCTCTTTTTATTTAAAAAAATAACCTTCAAAGTTCAAATACTTTAACTGATACAATGAGAGCAGATTGATAGATTCATAAAGATGAGGACTGCAAGAGAAAGAATCTAAACCAGGGGTTTTCAACATTAACACTATTGATGTTTGGAGCTGGATAATTCTGTTGTGGGAAGCTGTCTTGTGCATTATAGGATATTTAGCAGCATTGTTAGGCTTTACCCATGAGACGCCAGCAGGCCCTCTTGCTCAACTATAAATCCCAACAGTATTTCTTATTGTACTTTCTGGAGGCATTGACAATGACTGGAACATTCCAACCACCAGACCACAAAAACTCTGATAACAACGGAATACCCAGAAGACTACACCACACACATCCCCTTCCCTATCTGTGATCTTGGGCTGAACACATACCAATACCCTCACCCACAATCATGCATTCCCCAACCTCTCTCTATACTACTCTAGTTGTCCATCTTACAGGCAGAAAGGGTGGTTGTTATGGCTTGAGCCTACCACCTCCCCCAGCTGCCAACACCCAAAATAAATTTCTCCCTTTCTCTTTTCCAAACCCTCATCTCTTGAATTACTGGCTTCTCTTGCAACAAGTTTATCCAAGTTTGTTTGGCAACAGAGCTAGCCAACCCAGACAGGAGCCATGCTCTGGATTTGTTCAGCCCCCTCATGATTCTCCAGGATGGAGCAGTTGGCCACGAAAGCACCAGGGCTCATCTGTTTGTTTCCTGAGTCAGCAGCTATGATAGATCATCTGGTAACATCACCATCACTCTCACTTGTGACAACCAAAGTGTCTGCAGACATTGCCAACAGTCTCCTGAGAGCAAAACTGCCCCAAGCTGAGAATGACTGATACAGTCCAGCCTCCTCATCTGAAGATAAGCTATCTAAAACCCAGAAAGAGGAGGAGACATCACCACATTTACACCTCTAGTTAGAAACAGAGCCGGGAGTATATCAAAGTTTATCCCAGTTCTCAGTCAAGTAATCATTTGAGTCCTTATTTCATTCATTATGTCCTTGAGAATGATTTTGCTCCAATATATTCTCTCTGGCTTAAGCATATTTTATATTTATATCCCAAGAATTGAGAATTAAAAAGTGCTCTTGATTTTAAATTTGGAAGGAAGATAAGCATTGTCTCATATTTGCCATGGAAGGGTGGTAGTTAGGGTACAACACAACCAGTAAAATACACACATACACACACACACACACACTGATTTGGCTCATGTGATTATGGAGCTTTTCAAGTCTCACACTCTGTTGTCTACAAAATAAAAACCCAGGAAAGCAGGTGGTATATTAAGAAGACCTGAGGGCACCTTGGTGGGTCAGTTGGTTAAGCGACTGCCTTCAGCTCAGGTCATGATCCTGGAGTCCCGGGATCGAGTCCCGCATCGGGCTCCCTGCTCAGCAGGGAGTCTGCTTCTCCCTCTGACCCTCCCCCTTCTCATGCTCTCTCTATCTCATTGTCTCTCTCAAATAAATAAATAAAATCTTTAAAAAAAAAAAAAAAGAAGACCTGAGAGCCAGAGAGCCCGTGGTATAGATTCCAGTCTGAGTTTGAAGGCTCAAGAACCAGCAGCATCAAGAGCAAGAGAAAATCAATGTCCTAGCTCAACTAGTCAGGCAAAGAGTGAATCCTTCCTCCACCTTTGTGTTCTATTCACACTCTCAGGGGATTAGATGATGTCCACCCACCCTGGGGAGGGCAATTTGCTTTATTCAATCTACTGATTCAAATGCTAATTTCACTTGGAAACAGCCTCCTGGACACACCCAGAAATAACAGTTAGCAGATCATCTGGGCACCCTGTGTCCCAGTCAATTTGACATATAAAATTAATGATCACAATAAGTAAATCCAATAAGCAATAAAGGAAGAGAATAGGGCAAATACTTTCAGCCACTTGTAACCCATCTCATTTCTAGATCCTCATGTCACCTAATAAGTAGTTACTGTTCTATAAGAGCTTTGCTTTCCTCCTGAGCATTTCAAATTCCCATACCCAAATCAAAATTCCCCTCTGACATTTCCCTGAAAGAGTAGCAAGTTTATCATTTCCCTATTAAATTGCCCCAAATCAAAATGTCTTATCTAAATAAGAAAGAAGCTGGTATCAAGTCCAGAATACACCTCATGGGAGCTACTTTTCAGGTGGTTTTCTTTTTAACCTTCGGGGACCCACCCAGCATGTACAAAGATTGTTCCATTTTTACCATCAAATGCTTCACAGTGTTACCTGATGGGTGGTAGGGAGATAGGCAGAGCTGCTTCTCTGATTCATGTATCATGATCCTAAGGTGCTCTCGACATTTCACAAAGACCAAATTTCCTCATTTGATAACACACAGGCATTGGTTCAAGAAAATGCCAGTTGGCCATGCACTATTGCCTATAACCAAGGGGACATACTCCACCATCATGAACAGAAACTGGGGTGAAAGACAATGAGGACTGTGCAGTAGCTACTTTTAAGCAGCACTGGATGTGCACAACAGGACAAAAGCTACCTGTAAAGACAATCCAGGTGATCATGCCCTAATATTTTGTGAATTCTTCGGCATGCAAAGAGGGGCTAAACAGATTAGGGACAATCAAAAAACAGCATACTGATCTTCAAAGAGCTGTCGATATAGTGGAAGAAATCAGGCAAAAATCCTCAGAAAGCAAGTAACTCATTCAGCAGGGACTCAACAAGAGTGAATGATCATATCTTGATTGGTATTATGACCATGAAAGTGAGGCAAGTCAGGTAGGATTAAATAAGAAAAATTCCTGCAGGAAAAGAATTCAGAAATAGCTCATTCAAGATATGAGAGACTAGCCTCCTATTTTAATTCTTTTTCAAATAATTCCATTTGAAAGCTGCATATAAATGAAACTGAAACCACCCTGGAACAATACATTGTCTACTTTTACATTTTTGAAGAAGAATCTTTCTTCTCTACTAAATTAAGCAATTCTTCCTTGTCACTATAGTTTATATTTCCCACAATATTCCTCTTTATCTCAAAATATGGTGTGATTCTTATAGCACTGAAAGGAAATAGATTTCCTGGAAGTGTCCACTTATTTACTCTAAGTAGATGGCAATCAAAAAGTGCCCAAGGATAAGTCCCTGTGAATTGCTGGGTTCTGATGGAGTTCTTACTTGAAGTCATAAGTCGAACTTCATATAAAGAAAAAAAAAGGTACTAAATTGCTATTGTAAGTGTCTCAAATTTTCTTCTGAAAGATGAACAAATGAGTGGAGCTTCTGCTCTCCTTTCTCCCTTCCCCAATAGCTAAATGAAACCAGCTATCAAACAGATGAGTGAAGTGTGGGCACCATCTGAAATGGGTGATACATAATTTTCTACAGAATGAAAAGAGCTGAGAAAACATGTTTCATTCATTGTGTAAAATTTATAGTGTCTTCCATTCTGTTAAAGTCCCATAAATTTTTTTTTTGAAAACTTGCAATATATCTGTAAGAGCAATCTTATGCTCCATCAGCTGAATCAAAATGTATCAATTTTTTTATACACACCAAAGACTCAAGACATATTAAGTGGCCAGATGAGACTGGGAAGAGATAGGAACAAGTTACAGATGGCCTGAGTTAATGTTGTCAACAGAGAATCGAGCTTTTGAGAGCTGGAGTGACAGCTCGGATGTGCTTCTTTGAAATGATTTCTTTGCTGTTGTTTTTAGGAATTCCATTTTCAGGTCAGTTATGGAAACCACTCAAAAGTATTTCTTAAAAAGAGCATTTATTGCTTCCTGTCAATCTAACATTCAGTGGGCCAGTGTTTGATGAGCAAGATATTAGGATATAATCCTACAATTATGCTCTCTGAATTGGTCAAAATTATGCTTTCCTTCCCCTCCCAGCTGGTCTCAATAAAGGTAAGTATCTTGTAAAGGACACATTTGCAGAATCATTGCCACAGGATTAGGTCTGCTTCAGAGCCACATTTAAATCTTGATTATGATTCAGGAAGAAACTTCCTCAATTGTTCCTGTTATTTATGAACTCTTTGGGGGTGGGGGGAGAGGCCAAGAACAGAAATACAAGTAAGAATGGAAAACAAGCACCTAATATCATTCCTTTAAGCTCTAATAAAGAATTCAGAAACTACATTTTATAATTACTAATGTAGGCATGAGAATAACAAGTTCTATTAAAGATGTCATTTTAAGCACTGCTTGCCTTTCTTTCACCTCAAATTGAAATATAATATTCTCCTGATATTTTTTATTTGAATAGATGACAGTAAACCTCATCTCTAAAGAATTACCTTTCCACTTGTTTTGTAAACAATCACAAACTTGGTGGTGACTGAGATGTTTTGATCCCACAGTAGCTGGACTCTGGAAAATGCTTTTCAGCTTCTTGAATAGCCCATTGTATTATGGGTTGTTGGAACAAGTGACAGTGTGTCTGGACATGGAAGAAAAGCTCACAGCCACATGATATATTGATTTGACATCACAATTCTGAATCCTGGGATCTAGAAATCAATAAATGATTACCTTTTTTTTTTTTTGCTTTATCTGTAAGTAAAAAGTATCTACAGCCTACAGATTAAATATATGAAAATGCAATTTAGGAAATATATTAAGTAAGATATTATATGAATATAAAATAGAAAATGATATTTTGAACTGAGGATGAGAAATAAAAATACATTAAATATATATATATTTTATACACAATATATATACACATATATAAAGCAATATTTCTCAAGTCTGAGTATATAGACATCTCCTCCAAAGGGAAAAATATAGTAGACTTCTATTGTTGGTATAAATCAGTTAAATATATACAGACATAAAACTAAGCTTATGTTCTTAATTCTTATGCAACTATATATAAACTTAAAATTTACAAAATAACAACAGCTACAAAACCAATAAAAATCAAATAAATAATAATTTAATGTTATGTACAATACTTTGTTGTATCTACATTACCATTTACAATGTGAATATTGTATTGAATAGGAATTTGTACAGAATCATTTGGGTTTGATCTGTCTATTCTATGTTGCATCATTTGATGACTCATTTTTAAAAATGTTTCCCATTTATCGCAAAACCTTTTTCATATGGAATTCATTAAGTGAATCATTAAATATTATTAGACCTACCTCTTTAGTTTCTTCTTACTAGCAAGTGATACTAAATTAATTCATTAAAAGTTTCATCATGATCATAAATACAAATGAAAATACAGGCACTAAAATCATGTAGCTGTACTCTCTTTTAAGATAGTTTTCCATGTGATTATGTATATGCTTATATTAAGAGTCTGATTATTGACCTAAACATTCAAAATTCAAATATTCTCATGGACAACTCAAGGATTTCTAAGAATAAGTCAAGAGAAGCATTTATATGCATGTATGATTGCTTCCCTTAAGGTTCTACCTAAGCATTCTTGTTAGTTTCTTATTCAGATTGTGGTCTTTTTCAGCAGCTGCATTACTACTCTGGATACTATGCAATCAACTTTTTCTTCCTCTTTCTTTGCCAGTCATTAGATATCAGTTTGGATTATAAAAGTTTCCTGAGTGGTGGTATTCCTACAAATAGGGGAAAACATACTTGTATGTCCTTCTACAGGGCTAGCAGTTTAAAAACAAGTAGGTAGCCACCTCCTTGCTGAACTACCTAGAAGAATTTTCTCCAACTTCAGGCAATTAATTATTGTCTCAATTTCCAAGAGAAAAAGGATTTAGCTTGTCCATTTTGCTTCTCTGGACACTTGGGGTCCAGAGAGATCATGTATGTGTCCATTGTCAATCTTCCCCCAGAGACCCTCAGCTATATGTGGATAAAGCTCTCCCTAGAATCCAACCACCTTTGGTCCTGTGGTTCCTGACAGAAGGATGCAGATACTCATCCACCTTTGGATAAGAAAGCTGTGAACAAGTGCTTCTGGTGGGGCCTTCCCTTAACAGTCTAAGGTCTCACTTGTATCCAGTTACCTGTAGGTCCCAGGAGATATTTGCCTATAAAGAAGTAATAGATCAGAACTGGAGGATCAAAGAATCTTTGGATCTCTCTTTCCCTCAACCACTTCCTGAGATCTCACAAATTACACATGGGATGATGTATATACTAGTCACATTAATTTCTAATAGTCAACTTGATCACTTATCACTTTCATAACACAATACATAATACAAATCAAAATAATCACTCTTTCAGTTAAATCAGGTTTTAGCTGATAGTCAACAGAAAAAAAATTGTTTATTCTTTTTCTAACTTCTTCCCTATTAATTTAACACACTTTATAATTCAAAGAAAAAACAAAAGCATTTCCTCCATTGCTTTCTCTATATCTTACTCTAATTATTTCTCTAAGTAATGTCATTGAAACCTAAAAATCTTTTTTTGTTGTTGTTGTTGGTTGGTTGGTTGATTCTATAGTTTAATTTTATTTTTCCCCAAACTGCTTTATAAAAATATTATTCTTGTTGTATATATCTTATAATTTCAGATCTACTTTGTTTTGTTTCAAAGCCTTAACCAGTAATAAACTGTATAAATCACATACATTATAGAGCATCTCAGGTTGGCAGGGAGTTATGCTCCATGCAGTCTCTCAGGGTACCAGGCTAGCACTGACTCCACCACATTTAACACTGGTTATGACCATCTGGGCACATAGAAAGGGGGATGATCATGGTGGAGCTCTCATGGAAATTATTATGGCTTAGGCCTGAAAGAGGCATATTAAACTTCTACTCCATTAGCAAGAACTTTGTTTCAAAGTCACACTTAACTGCAAGGGCAGTTGAGAATTTAGTTTCAGTAACTAGGGAGAAAAAGAAAATGGATTTTGGTGGTTAGCTAGGAGACTTTGCCACAGAATGTAAGTTATGACCATAAGGAATTTACAATCCAAGGGAGACAGAATACAGCAACAAAAAGGAACCTACGTTGAGTGATGATTTAACATTAGTGATAATAAATACTATAGGCATCCAAAGGAAGGGGAAAATCATCAAAATTAAAACTTAATAGATCACCATAGCACAGATCTGTACCTCTTTTTTTTTTTTAAGATTTTATTTATTTATCTGAGAGAATGAGAGACAGAGAGCACGAGAGGGAAGAGGGTCAGAGGGAGAAGCAGACACCCCACTGAGCAGGGAGCCCAATGCAGGACTCGATCCTGGGACTCCAGGATCATGACCTGAGCCGAAAGCAGTCGCCCAACCAACTGAGCCACCCAGGCGCCCTGTACCTCTGAAACAAATAATACATTATATGTTAAAAGAAGAAGAAGAAGAAGAAGAAGAAGAAGAAGAGGAAGAAGAAGAAGAAGAAGAAGAAGAAGAAGAAGAAGAAGAAGAAGAAGAAGAAGAAGAAGAAGAAGTAGAAGAAGAAAGTAGGAGGGGAAAAATGAGGGGGGGAAATTGGAGGGAGAGACGAACCATGAGAGACTATGGACTCTGAATAACAAACTGAGGGTTCTAGAGGGGAGGGGGGTGGGGGGATAGTTAGCCCGGTGATGGGTATTAAGGAGGGCACGTTCTGCATGGAGCACTGGGTGTTATATGCAAACAATGAATCATGGAACACTACATCAAAAACTAATGATGTAATGTATGGTGATTAACATAACATAATAATTATAAATAAATAAATAAATAAATACTTAATAGAAAAAAATATATAATCTAAAGGAGGTTAGATGGGTTTTCAGCAGAGTCAAGGGAGTTCATGGGAACTGATTAGTGTTTTTATTCATACTGGGGAGGTTTAGCAGTAAAGTAGAACTTTGAAGACAAGTGGTCCTGAGTTCAAATGCCAACTCTTTTTAACTGTGTGACCTTGGGCAGGTCATTTAACTACTCTGATTCTAGCGAGTTTGGATCAAACTACATTATCTTCTTTAACTTTTATATCAAACTATACTTAGCTTCAGGATAAAAACAGGAATTTTCTTTAATCAGAAAGAGAGGGATTTTATAATCTGCTCTTCAATAAGAATTCCAGGAGACACTTACAACTGGTCAGTTTAGAAAACATTGAGAATATGTGATGCTCAATTATTATCACTGTTTTCAGAAAGAAAGCTGATAGAGCAATCAGAATAGAAATGTCGAAATCAGACAAATTGAGCTTGAATCTCAATTCTACCACTTGCTAGCCGATTAGCTTCTGAACCTACTAAATACTGATAATTCCTACCTTACAAAGTGGTCCACATGTTTTGGTTTCATTTTTCTTTGCCCATTTCTGATTATCGTTTTCTAGGACTTTGCCCTTAACCTATAAATGTTACAGCTTTTCAGAAACCAGTTGTGGACCTTTCTATTTCTCTTATAAATATGGCCCCAGATCAACTCATTCTTTTAGCATTGTGAAATGCTAATTCTGTGCATTTTCTTCCTAAACATATCTTCAGCTCAGCCTTCTGATATCTGAAATGCAGATTCATAGGCAACCATCTATTATGATTCCAGTGAAAGAGTTCAGAGGCATGTCAAACTTGACATGTGTTTTTAAAACAGGATTCTCAATTTCCACCTCATCCATCCCTATTACGTGCATAAACGCAAACACACACACACGTTCCTCTCTCTGTCTTCTCCATCAGAGCACATGACGGCAGCAGCATCTGACTAATTACTTAAGGAAACCCTTCAAGTTGCTCTTTTGATTTCCTCACTTCACCCTTATACATATAATCAATCCATCACCAAAATATATCTTAAGCCTGCCTGGTTCTCTCCATCTTTACAGCCATCACCCTAGACCTAGCCACACATTTCTTTTTCTGATCTATTAAAATAATTTTATTCTTATCCACTCTGTATCCATTCTCCACAGCTGCCAAAGTGAATTTTATACACAGGAAAGGAATCATGTCACACTCCCTTGCTTAAAACCGTTCAATAGTTTTCCATTATTCTGGCAAAACAATTCAAACTCCATAGCTCACAAAATCTTGAAATAACCTGACTTTTCCTTCTTTCTTCAATTTCACATTGTGCCATTCTCTCCTATGTTGTATCTACTGTGGTTTTCTTTCCATTCTCTTGGAAACCAAGATCATTCCTGTCTAAGCCTTTTGAGCTATTTACTTAGCTGGATCCTTCATTTCCTTCAGGTCATAGTTCAAATATTACCTCCTCAGAAAATCTCTTCTGACCTCCAATCTGAAGTAGACAATACATTAGAGCATTCCTTGTCACTATAGCACTTGTCACGATTTGTAATTATATATCTATATGTGTATTTACTTGTTTTTTTTGTCTGCCCACTTTGTCTATTATAATTTATTTTTTATTTTTTTATTTTATTTTTTTTTAAAGATTTTATTTATTTGACAGAGAGAGACACAGTGAGAGAGGGAATACAAGCAGGGGGAGTGGGAGAGGGAGAAGCAGACTTCCCGCAGAGCAGGGAGCCCGATGCAGGGCTCAATCCCAGGACCCTGGGACTATGACCTGAGCCGAAGGCAGACGCTTAACGACTGAGCCACCCAGGT